GGGGGCAGCCCCTTAAAGACACAGAGCAGCCACGGCCGCTCCTGCGGGACGGGGAAAGCTCCCGCTCCCCCAGCGCTCCCTCTGTTGCTGACTCAGCACAGGAGAAAGGAAACGTCAAACTGAAATAATCGAAAACCTGAGATAACTGAAGTCCCCGGACCCAAGAGAGGTGCCAACACCATCCAGGCTGCATGGGGATCAAATCTGGGAAAAAGTAGTAGTATTTTCCCATTCCACAAGGAAGCAAGAGCCGTGATCTGCTCTGAGGGTCAGGACAGTCACCTGTACAGGCTCAAACAGGAACTGCCCTAATTACTTTTATGTTCTGCAGGGGAAACATCACCCGCTTACTGCCTCTTTTTTTCTAAACACTCTCTCCAGCTGGAAAAAATGAGTGTTTTCACCCAATCTGTGATTAAAACTTCCGAATCAGTGCTTAGATGAGATAGGGAACATTCTCATCTCAGAAAAAATTACTTGTGCTACTTTTAAACAAGGTAAAAATCACACCAATTAAGGATAAATTGGCAATCTGATTTCTTTTCCTTTGTAACTCTAACGAAACTTTTTCAAAAGACAAAAATAGAAGTGTTGTTATGTTGGGCAGCAGAACACAGCAGGTTCTAAAGAAAGGAGCTGCTCCGTGAAGCCTCAGCTATCCGGCGTGGTCCAGCAGTTGCCCTCACCATGCTAAACCCACGCAGAGGCTACAATGAGATACCCAATCTGCGGCTGTAAAACGTCTTAAGAAACCTTTGTGGCAAGAAAAGTGGCTCCTTGGTAGTAATGTTATTAGATCCAAGGAAATGCTGTCTGTCGAGGCTACATTTTATAAACATATTGATTTTCAAAAACACAATAGCACACAGAAACAGGGATTCTCCCATTATGCAATCAAGAAAATGGAAAAAAAAAAAATCAATGAAAGCATTTTATGCAACTTTTATGTTGTGGCACTGCCTCGTAAGGCTTCATTTCCTCTTCAGGAGCGTTCCATAGGAGTCAGCTATAAAACCTTTGAGATTCAGTGATGCAAGCTAAATCACTCACTAAGGGATGTGAACTGCTGGAAAGGTGTCCACAGAGTAGTTCTATGATGACTTACTGGGGTCGATGTCTCAATGTATTCCCGTTACACCGCTGTGACCTGCCCAGGTCCCTGCATGGCCTGATGTATGCCGGGCACTGACACTGCACCCACTGTCTGTGGGTCCTCAGGGTGACTGAAGCACTGGAAGCGGCACAGCAGCGCTGCCATTGGGTTAAAATACTTTGCTGCAAGGAGTTGTGATGTTTTGTTGTGCAGCTCCGTGCTGTGCTTGCAGACAGGGAAGCCGGATGGAGGCAGAGGCAGCCAGATGCAGAGAGTCAGGAAAGCTGTTCTAGACCATGGGAAAAAGTACAAAAAATACCAATGTACCAGTGGAAAGAAGAAATGGAAGACAAATTTTGTATATTAAAAACAAGCAGATGATAGATTGGGGAAAACTTTATGCAAGATAGAGAATATGGAGCAACTGTTTTCAAGAGAAAAGTAAAAACAGAGGCTCATACCTTCCTTGCAGGGCACAGTGCCATTGCAGCGGCCCAATGTCTCCGTGCATTTGACACCGTTCTCCACTTCAGCTTTTATCTTCTCACATTCAACACCACGCAGACGTCTGCGTATGTGGATTACCAAGGCAGGGCATAGGAAGACCTCTGAGATGAGAGAACGTGCTGAAGACATGGCAGGAAGCAGCCTCCCCAAAATAGAGGTTAAAATGCTTGGATTTAGGAAAAGTGAAAAGAGGGAGTGACTGTACCTGGGAGGAAAGAAAAACATAGCTTGAATAAAGTTATAGCTATAAATGATAGTCAATGTGTATGACAGGTTAATGTGCTCCCCCATCCAATCAGCCGTCTTTCTGTTTGAGGAAAATATTAGGTTTTCCGTAAAGCTGGGGTAGTGCTGCTGCTGACACAGATACCACAGCGTTGGGTAACCCTGATGCCTCTTGACACTGACTGCCTCTAAGGATGGATTTTCAGCAATTCTGTCCCCAAATTACCATTTATAATTTCAAAAGTTGTGGTAGTAATCTAATTTTGATCTCAATTTTACTAGCTTGAATCGAGGATAATTACGACACACTCAGGAACTTACGGGAAGTGAGAAGAACCGAGTGGCAGGTGCTTAAAGGGCGGATTTCTCCCGTGCTGAGTTAGAAGTGAAGTAATTGTGATTTCCACAAATTTCTCAGACTTTGACTGCATCGCAAAAGGGAGTGAACGACAGGAAGATGTAGTTCCATCCAGTTCAGCGAAATGTTCCAAGAGACCTTAAAGAACAATTCTGTCTTCCCCAGTCTTCATACTGATGGCTCTTTTCCTCTGGGACAGTGCTGATGAGTGACCGGAGCAGCAGCCTCGCACAAATACACAGATTCTTCTTCTGATCCTGTCACTGCGTTGTGACACTGAGCTACCAACAAATGGTCCAGTTTTCCCATCCCTATATATGGAATAATTATCTTTATGATTTAATTTGAGCTCCCTTTATTAAAATTCCTATATAAGAACTAACTGTTACCATTACAAAGCTCTGGGTAAGATTGGAATGCCAAATAGAAGCTGAACATGTTAAACTTTGCAGGTATGAGGAAATTGGGTTTTTGAGTCTCTAAGGCAAGTTGTCTCTGTAATACAGACCTGGAGTCACAGGGAGGCACTCGCACAAGGAGATCGTGTCACTTGAGGATAATGCTTTTGGTATCTTGTACTGCATCACCGCAGAGGGCAGCGTTGAGTTTTAGGAGGCGTAAAATGAAAGAACAGGTATTTGGTTCCAAGGTGAATGGCTAAACAGCACTCAAAGTGTATTTGCTTAAGTACCTTGGCAATTATCTCTGCTGAGCATCTTTAATGAACGAGGTGTCATGTCCTTCTTTATTTAATGCATCTTATTTAATGCATATTAAAAGTGTGCCTGATGTGTCACTGCCTATTAACAAAGATATGGCAGCAATACCGTCAGTTTGGGTCCAGGCTGCTCACTCCAGGGCCTTTGAAGTACGATGGGCAGGAGCAGGTTAAATGTCAAAACATTAATCACTCCACGGCTTGCTACATCTCAGGTTCTCTCCACAGAGTATCTTGTGCGTTGCAGCAGCTCATCTCTCCTCTTACACGGCCATTACTAACACTGGCAGATTCCAAACGGGAGTTGCACTCAGGTGACATCTGTTCTTCATGAGCACCTTAAAATAATCTGCAACGAATACAGAAACCGCACAAAAACATTTCACAAGGTAAATGCAAACAGGAGGGTGTACTGCCAACACTAAACATTAAAAAGCAGAATCGTTCCTTTTTTTTTTTTTCCATCTTGCTAGTGTTTTATTTTAAAAGTCACTGCCTACACTTGTTGATGGACAATAGAAATGTCAATTTTTTTTGCAAACAAAAATGTGATGACTGTATATCGAGATTCTCGTGCATGCAGTGCAACTTCAGGAGAGCAGTAACACTTCTCCCCGGGCTGCACAGCAAAACCTCGGGGGTTGGGAGGGAAA